TTCATGGTTCTTTATTTCCCTTGTTTTTATCAGTATCTGACAAAGCACCTCATTAAAGGTTTGCTGGAACCTGACCATCTTTTTACAAAGCTTGTCAGCACTCTCTCAACATGCAAGTTCATTCTTTCTTAATTGTCTTTACATTTTAACTATAAAATGTAACATTTCTTCTTGCAATCTTTTTTTATTTCCGTTTTTAGGACCTTGTAATCAGATCTTTTGATTTATACATTAATTCATGATTAATTGTGCATTTGTTAAGCGTTGTTTCATGCATATTAGTGCATTTTGTTTCTTAATCATTTCTACTGTTACAACTATATCACATACTGTCCATTTGTACTACTTTTGATCTTCATCAGCATATTATTTTTTACCTAAACAACTAGAAGAGACACCCTCTAACTTTAAACTACTTTCTGTATACTAGAAGCTATGAAATTGTATATCATCTTCAGAGAGAAAAACAATACATATGCCCAACCAAACGCGTTTTCATTTAAAATCAAAATACACTCACTCACAACAATTCACATACAGGCAGTACAGAGGATTGTTAAGACTTTTCACTGCAACTTAGCCTTTACTGCTCAAGATTCATGTCTTTCTTTTGACTTCTTTATGTATGCATTTATTCATGTTTATTGTTAGTTTATTTATTTTCCTTTCGCTTAGTCTCTAATTTATCAGAGGTCGCCACAGCGAAATAAACCGCCAACTTATCCAGCATATGTTTAAAGCAGTGGATGCCCTTCCAGTCACAGCCCAGGCCAGTACTAGGAAACACCCATACACTCTCGCCTTCACACACACACACAAAAACACTACAGCCAATTTAGTTAATCCAATTCACCTGTATTGCATGTCTTTGGGCTGTGGGGGAAACCAGAGCACCCAGAAAAAAAACCCACACGCACATGGGGAAAACATACAAACTCTACGCAGAAATGCCAATTGGATTTAAACCAGCGACCTTCCTGCTATGAGTTGACAGTGCTAACCAATGAGCCACCATGCCACCTATAATAATGCTAATATTAATGAAAATATAACCCTTTTTAAGGTATCATATAGCATTAAAATATATATCTTTATGGATCCTGAGGAAAAGGTTTTTATTCAACATCAAAATGTGTTCTACTATAATTACAAGTTTAGAGCTGTTTTTCCTTAGAGTATTTATGACAATATGAGAAAATATCATTGAATAGTATTCATACCTCTTCTGCCTCTTCTGTGTTAATAAGAGTTACAACATGTGCTCCAAATGAATCACTTTGAACTGATTTCAGACTCCCACCAGCCTGAAGTGTGTTTTCATTATACGAGCTCACAAACTTAAAGTCACTGGTGCGCGAGCCTGTTGTCAGATACGCGTCATGATTGTAAGAGCTGCGGATAGTTCCTGCTCCATCCACATCTGCATAGTTTGGAGGCAGATAGGCGCTGGGAACAGCAACTGCTCCATCAAACAACAGTCTGGGCTTTCTCCTGTGACAAAACTTCACTGCCAACATCATTATGATGAACGTCAGGAAGAAAGTGCAGACGGAAACTAATGCAATGATCAAGTATGAGGTTAATTCAGAGTTGTTGTCCTCATAGCTCATATCTTTAAGTTCAGGAACTTCAGAAAGATTATCAGAAATCAGTAAATTCACAACGCATGTTGTAGACAAAGATGGCTGGCCATTATCCTTCACTGAAATAACAAGATTCTGCTTCATATTGTCAGATTCAGAAATGTCTCGTTGAGTTTTGATTTCTCCACTATGGAGACCAATAGTGAAAAGTCCCGGATCAGTAGATTTCAAGATCTGAAAGGACAGCCATGCATTCTGTCCAGAGTCAGCATCTACAGCAATCACCTTTGACACCAGAGAGCCTGAGAGAGTCGCTTTAGGGACCATTTCAGTCATTAAAGTCTTTCCATCAGGAACAGGGTATAATATCTGTGGAGAGTTATCATTCTCATCCGTTATGAAGACTTTGACAGTCACGTTACTGCTGAGTGGAGGAGAACCATTGTCTCTGGCAACAACTTTGACACTGAAGTTTCTGAACTGCTCATAGTCAAATGATCTCACAGTATGAATCACTCCTGTATCTCCATTAATAGAGAGAAATGAGGACACTGGGACTCCACTGACTTCACTGGGTACCAGAGAGTACAGTACAGTCCCGTTCTGTCTCCAGTCTGGGTCATTTGCACTGACAGAACAAACAGAAGTGCCTACTTTGTTATTTTCATTTATATATGCACTGTAGGCCTGTTGCTCAAATACAGGAGGATTGTCATTCACATCTGAGACAAATAAATGGATTGTCATGGAGGTGGATAATGGTGGAGATCCCCCATCCGTGGCTGTGATGGTAATGTTGTAATCAGATTCTTTCTCTCTGTCTAGAGCTTTTGTCGTTACTAGAGAGAAATAGTTTTTAACAGATGGGTTCAGTTTGAAAGGAACATTTTGCTGAACAGAACAACGAATCTGACGGTTTTCTCCCGAGTCTTTGTCTTGAACATTAATGATTCCCACCTCAGCTCCTGGCTCAGAGTTTTCAGGTATCGGGTTATTCAAAGATTTAAGAATGATTCTCGGAGGATTATCATTAACATCGGTTATATCTATGATAACTGTTGCAGTCGATGCTAATCCAGAGCCATCTTGAGCATGGATTCCAATTTCATAGTTTTTCTCACTTTCATAATCGATTTTTTCAGTTACCAGAATTTGTCCTGTTTTCTTATCAATGGAAAATTGTTTTGAAGCTTTGTCTGATATCCTGCTGAATTCATACGTCACTTCTCCGTTTGGACCTTCATCAGCATCAGTGGCGCTCACTCTGATTATTTCTGTTCCTGAAGGTGTGTTTTCAGCCAGAGTGACCTTATAGACAGGTTGATCAAACACTGGCACATTATCATTAGCATCTAGAACAGTGATGTGTATGACAGCAGTGCCAGACCTCTGCGGTGAACCACCATCAGTAGCTGTGAGTATCAGATCCATCTCTTTCTGCTGTTCACGATCCAACTCCTTTTCCAACACGAGTTCAGCATATTTTCCTCCATATGCAGTGTCATGCACATTTAAATAAAAATGATTGTTTTTCTCCAGCAAATAGCCATTTACGGCGTTACGCCCAATGTCTGAATCATGTGCCTCATGCAAACGGAATCGCTGGCCTTTATCTGCTGATTCTGTGATTTCAAAGTTAATGCGCTCATTTGGAAATCGAGGCGCGTTGTCATTTATATCCTGAATTTGAAATATTATACGGTGCACATCAAGAGGGTTTTCCAGGACGAGCTCGTAATTGAGAAAGCAGGACATTCTAGATCCACAAAGCTCCTCTCGGTCTATGGTCTCTGCTACGATTAAATCACCAGTTTTCATATTAATATCACAGTACCGTTTACTGATGTCCTCCGTGTCTATCCGAGATTTACGAGCAGACAGTTGTTTTACATCGATCCCGAGATCTTTGGCAATATTTCCAATTACATACTGGCTCTTCGTTTCTTCCGGAATATTGTAGTTTAGATCAGCACAGACGGTTATCGGAAGAAGCAAAATGACAGCAACAAAACACGCAAAGAAACGACCCCAAAATAAGGCGTATTCCATTTTTGTTGCAGCTTTAGCAATAATTTGCTCTTTGAATAATATCCCAGTATTTTGATCAGCGTCGACTGATGGTTATTCCATTTTTTGCAGCGTTTTTTCAAGCAGACAGAGCTTATGTCCTCCCATTAATGTGGGAGGAGAGACGCATCTGTCTTGGTGAATAGCGACACTCTGAGTATGTTTTGATCACTGCAACATCATTTGATGAATTAGAGACAGAATCAACAGAGTTATTTTACTAATTATGCGCTGTTTTGCATTGTTTAATTCAGATGGAATTGTTTTCATGATTGCATGCACAGAAGGCTGAAGTATATAGACGCTGTTCAGATATGTGGTGCTGAAACCAGATGTACGGAAGTGTTAGATTATAGAAAATACTATGAAATCTAAAAAATAAAAATGAATGAGGAAATGCGATTCTTTATTAAAGGGGTTGAATTTTTGTCACGCCAAAACATATTTATTTTATTTTATATTTATTTTAATTATTTATCTATTTTTATTTTAGCAATTTTTTAGTTAACTGAAACACCGTAGTTTTTACGATTAATATTACAGTGATAAAATACCTTAAAACAAAAGGAACCAAGAACTAAACCGCATGGAACAGCTAAAGGTGGACGAGATTAAATGCACAAGTGTAATTATGGTTTAGACAATTAGCAGATAACGAGACTGAAAATTTAAGAAAATTTCCAGAAAGAAAATTAAATGAAGAGAACGAATGTCCATATATTAGTCATTATTATTATTATTATTATTATTATTATTATTATTATTATTTCTTAACAATAGTTTATGCCTTAATCCGTTATATTTTAAGTTGTTAAAAGTATGCAAAACAAGTATGATATGAGAAAAAAGTTGAAGTCGGATCTGGATCTGTTTAAATAATCTAGCTGAAGAGTATTTACAGATACGGTGAAATTTGGGAAGCAAAACAAAACATTAAAAACGTAAAAATAATATAGATTTTTCATATTTAAATGAAGTATTTGCATAAATGTCCCAAATAAAAGTATGTTTTATGAATAACAAAGATATTAATTTATGTAATGAAATGGAATTTAAAAGACTTGAATTGGCAGACAAATCAGGAAACAGTAAAATAAGGTCAAGATTATATCAAATCAGGAGGGATCAGAAAATTGCAGTTGAATTTGACCAATGTAATTTCAGTCTACGAATGATGTTAAAACGCATTAAAAAAAAGAGAACATAAAATCGAACAGAATGAATGTCTTTTAAATTAATTGATTAACCAAGAAAGGCATTACTGAAGTATGTGAAATCTTTCAACAATGTGCAATAAACGGACACAAAAAGAGAACAAAAGAAAGACCAGTACATTTAAAACTCTCTTACCTCAACTTTATCTCCTGTTACGTCTAGAGTTATTATGCTTGAGCCGAAATGAATATTGTGTTCCTTATTCAGAGTCCCGCTGGCCGGAAGTGTGTTTTCATTATACGAGCTCACAAACTTAAAGTCACTGGTGCGCGAGCCTGTTGTCAGATACGCGTCATAATTGTAAGAGCTGCGGAGAGTTCCTGCTCCATCCACATCTGCATAGTTTGGAGGCAGATAGGCGCTGGGAACAGCAACTGCTCCATCAAACAACAGTCTGGGCTTTCTCCTGTGACAAAACTTCACTGCCAACATCAGTATGATGAACGTCAGGAAGAAAGTGCAGACGGAAACTAATGCAATGATCAAGTATGAGGTTAATTTAGAGTTGTTGTCCTCATAGCTCATATCTTTAAGTTCAGGAACTTCAGAAAGATTATCAGAAATCAGTAAATTCACAACACATGTTGTAGACAAAGATGGCTGGGCGTTATCCTTCACTGAAATAACAAGATTCTGCTTCATATTGTCAGATTCAGAAATGTCTCGTTGAGTTTTGATCTCTCCACTATGGAGACCAATAGTGAAAAGTCCCGGATCAGTAGATTTCAAGATCTGATAGGACAGCCATGCATTCTGTCCAGAGTCAGCATCTACAGCAATCACCTTTGACACCAGAGAGCCTGAGAGAGTCGCTTTAGGGACCATTTCAGTCATTAAAGTCTTTCCATCAGGAACAGGGTATAATATCTGTGGAGAGTTATCATTCTCATCCGTTATGAAGACTTTGACAGTCACGTTACTGCTGAGTGGAGGAGAACCATTATCTCTGGCAACAACTTTGACACTGAAGTTTCTGAACTGCTCATAGTCAAATGATCTCACAGCATGAATCACTCCTGTATCTCCATTAATGGAGAGAAATGAGGACACTGGGACTCCACTGACTTCACTGGGTACCAGAGAGTACAGTACAGTCCCGTTCTGTCTCCAGTCTGGGTCATTTGCACTGACAGAACAAACTGAAGTGTCTGCTTTGTTATTTTCATTTATATATGCACTGTAGGCCTGTTGCTCAAATACAGGAGGATTGTCATTCACATCTGAGACAAATAAATGGATTGTCATGGAGGTGGATAATGGTGGAGATCCCCCATCAGTGGCTGTGATGGTAATGTTGTAATCAGATTCTTTCTCTCTGTCTAGAGCTTTTGTCGTTACTAGAGAGAAATAGTTTTTAACAGATGGGTTCAGTTTGAAAGGAACATTTTGCTGAACAGAACAACGAATCTGACGGTTTTCTCCCGAGTCTTTGTCTTGAACGTTAATGATTCCCACCTCAGCTCCTGGCTCAGAGTTTTCAGGTATCGGGTTATTCAAAGATTTAAGAATGATTCTCGGAGGATTATCATTAACATCGGTTATATCTATGATAACTTTAGCAATTGATGCTAACCCAGAGGCGTCTTTAGCTTGAATTCCGAGCTCATAGTTCTTTTCAGATTCATAATCAATTTCCCCTTTTACCAAAATTTGTCCTGTTGTCTTATCAATCGAAAATAACTTAGCAGTTTTGTCTGATATCCTGCTGAATTCATATGTCACTTCTCCGTTTGGACCTTCATCAGCATCAGTGGCGCTCACTCTGATTATATCTGTTCCTGAAGGTGTGTTTTCAGCCAGAGTGACCTTATAGATAGGTTGATCAAACACTGGCACATTATCATTAGCATCTAGAACAGTGATGTGTATGACAGCAGTGCCAGACCTCTGCGGTAAACCACCATCAGTAGCTGTGAGTATCAGATCCATCTCTTTCTGCTGTTCACGATCCAACTCCTTTTCCAACACGAGTTCGGCATATTTTTCCTCATCCGCAGTTTGTACGGTCAGTACAAAATGTTCATTTTTCTCCAGAGAATAGTCATTGATAGAGTTTTTCCCGATGTCTGAATCATGTGCCTCATCCAAACGGAATCGCTGGCCTTTTACTGCTGATTCTCTTATTTCAAAGTTAATGCGCTCATTTGGAAATCGAGGTGTGTTGTCATTTATATCCTGAATTTGAAATATTATACGGTGCACATCAAGAGGGTTTTCCAGGACAAGCTCGTAATTAAGAATGCAGGACATTCTAGATCCACAAAGCTCTTCTCGGTCTATGGTCTCTGCCACAAATAAATCACCAGTATTTGGATTAATATCACAGTACCGTTTACTGCTGTCCTCCGGGTCTATTCGAGCTTTACGTGCAGACAATTGTTTAACATCCATCTTGAAATCCTTGGCTATGTTTGCAATCACGTAGTGACGCTTCGTTTCTTCGGGAATATTGTAGCTCAGATCTGCAGACGCGATTTTCAGAATAAATAGAAGGAGAGCCACGAAAAACGCAAAGAAAGAGATTGGGTATAATCTCCGGTTCATTTTGGATGATTTAATATTCCAACTACCCCAAAAGGTTCTTAAATGAATGAAAACCTATTCCAGTAAGTTAACATGTGTCGACGGACGATTACTCCATTTTATGTAGCGTTTATTCTGTCACACAGAGCTTCTATTCCACCTTAGGTGTGGGAGGAGAGAACCGTTAATCTACAGTCTTAGTGAATAGCGACACTCTGAGTATTTTTCTGTTCATTGCATTATTCTTTTATTGTCAAGACAACATATATGGATCAATTTTTATTTGAGTTTGACACTGTATAAATACCTATAACCATTTTCATACGTTTATAGGCAATATTTTTATAATCACTTTGAAATGTTTACGCATACAATGATTAAGTACAAAATACATCACTGGCGCTGTCCAGGCTTGTGGTGCTGAAACTAGAAGACCTCACAAACACAAACAAAGGCAGTTAAGTAACTTCATAACTATTAAATAACCAAGCAAAACAATTTTAAATAAATGAAGGAATGTAATTTACTGCATTAATCAAAAAGTTTTACACTAAGTTATATTTTCAATGTATTGTCACTTTTAAATGGGTGAAATTTATAACACGTTTAGACCATCTACTCTAGAATTTTACCAAAGAACTACGTTTGTTTTAGATTAAATCAGCAACAGAAAATAGCTACCAAAGAGGAAAAATGCTAAAAAAAAAAAAAAAAAAAAGAGTATTGCACAAATTCAGGTAAAATAATAGCTAGTTTTAATACATTTCTAAACAAAATTGGAGGTCACATTTTAAACGCAATCAAAGAATAACAAAGGTAAAATTTATTTAAAAACTGACTTTTATATTGTTTTAACCTGATTCATTTATTATTAAAGGTATGCAAGAACTCTAGTCGTTTAACATAAAAATGGCGTCCTACTACTGTTGTCAATCTAAATTAAACTTTTAGATTTTTTATTGTAATGTAATAATATGCACCTTTTGTAAAGCTGCTTTGGAACAATAACTATTATAAAAAAACGCTATACAAATAAGCTTGGATTGAAATAGCTTTAATAAATAGGAGCAAATATAATTCACAAAGAAGTCAGTATGAAAAATAAGAACAAACTAGAAAGATGATAATGGTTCATACAAATATATAACACCAATTGGAGGAATTCTTAAAAAAAGAAAAGGATGACCCCTAAGGCTTTTTAACAGGCAATACCTTACAGCGATGTATAGTGATATTATTAATGCAATAATTAAAAAATATGAAACCAGTGGTGAAACATGAAATGTAATACAAATAAACTAACCATGTCTTAGCTTATTTTTATTTTCTTTAACGTCTAGTGTTATCATGCTTGAGCCAAACTAAATGTTATGGTGCTTATTCAGAGTCCCACCAGCAGGAAGTGTATTTTCATTATACGAGCTCATAAACTTACACTGCACATATAAAACGGCAGCTTCTGAACACACAGTCGCATCCTCCATAAATGTTTTTTAAGGGATTTAACTATAATAACAGGAGCATTACCATTTACATCAATGATGACCATACTTTAGAAGTAGCTGCTAGAACAGCGCCATCTCTTGCTTTAACCCGGATCTCAAATGAGAGAGTGCCTTCAAAATATAATAATCCTTTAATATAATAATCCTTTAATATAATTTAATCCTTTATATATATATATATATATATATATATATATATATATATATATATATATATATATATATATATATATATATATATATATATATATATATATATATATATATATTGCTTTCAACGCCATATGACTTAATTTATAAGAAACATCTTCGTTTGCTTCTTCATCAGCATCAATAACACTGACAACAACCAGAGCTGAATCTAACGGAAGATTTTCAGGGACACTCACTTCATATACTGACTGGGGAAAAAAAGATTTCTTATCAATAATGTCCAAAATATTTATTTGTATAACTTTGTGATTTAGTACAACATATAGCACTGGCGCTGTCCAGGCGTGTGGTGCTGAAACTAGAAGACCTCACAAACACACACAAAAAAAAAAACATTAAAGTAACTTCAAAACTATGAAATAAACAAGTAAAACAATTTTAACTAAATGAAAGAATGTTATACACAGAGACTAGCCGAAAAGAAAATTACTTAATTAATTTTATTCACCGCATTAATCAAAAGGTTTTACACTATATTTTCTACATATTGTCGCATTTAAATGAGTGAAGTTTAAAACACTTTTAGACCATACTCTAGAATTTTACCAAAGAACTACGTTTGTTTTTAGATTAAATCAGCAATAGAAAATAGCTGAATGTCCAAAATATTAATTTGTATAGCCTGATTTCTGAGGATTGTTCCTATCAGAAGCTGTCAAAATATTAGAATGTTTGTCTTGTTTTTTACGATCCAGTTCATGATCTAACACAATTTCTTCGTATCGCACAGTTTCCGCATTTGTTTTTACTGCTAAACTGAAATAAGCATTATATGAAAGTCTGAATCCTTGTACGGAATTTACTGTCTGGGTCAGCTGACTCGTCAATGGAAAACCGGGACCCTTTCATTGTTGGCAATGGTTTTTGTTCGCAGAGCTGTTTTCGGTCAGTCCTTTCACTCTAAACCAATTCCACATTATGTGCGTCGATTTCGCAATAGCAATTTCGTCCATCAAGCTCGAACCTTGGGTTTCCTAATGAAAACGTATTTTATCTACTCTTAAATCTTCTGCACATTTTTCGACTAATGACTCTCGCTTAATTTCCTCTGGAAATGAATATCGAACATCTCCCAAGCGTAATAAAATGGCGAGTGAATGGATGACAATAACTTTCCAAAAACGCATGCGTTTGGCTGTAATTCATGTTTTTAATCGTGAAGGAAAATGTCAGTGTCTGTTTCTGAAATAAAACATTATCATCAAACACAACTGTTTCTAAGCCAAACCAAGCTGGTCGAACCAAGAAAAAAAAGTCAGTGGGTGGACCAAAAGCATAGCATCAACAGCGACACATGGTGTGGTGTTAGAATATATACAGGCAAGATGTTCGTTAATTTTCAATGAAATATACAGTAGGCCTATATTAAATAATTCAGCACATTAATTTAAGATGTAAAGATTACTGGACATGGCGTACACAATAATTTTTAAAGAAAATGTAATTATAGTTAATAATCGAGGTTTATTTACTTGTGCGATAAGAGGATACACATAGTCAATATTTTCCACTAATAATTCGGGAATATAAACTGAAATAACTGTATATGTGAAACTACTGTTTAAAGAACATTGGAAACTACAACCGTTTACAGCTATTTTTTCAGCAAATAAAGACAATTCAAAACAAAAAATTAAATCTAAAACTTTTTTGTAGAATGAATGGCAGCAGTTGTGCTGTGCGTCATTTTTAGGTGCGTAAACAAGACACATTACAAACAAACAAACAAACAAACAAAAAAGCTTAAGAATCAAAGCAGGCATTTACTGTAACTCGGTACATTCCCCTACGTCAGACAGGCGCAACATATTAAAATCGATTTTACTCTTATCCAGAATCCCACCAGCCGGAAGTGTGTTTTCATTATACGAGCTCACAAACTTAAAGTCACTGGTGCGCGAGCCTGTTGTCAGATACGCGTCATAATTGTAAGAGCTGCGGATAGTTCCTGCTCCATCCACATCTGCATAGTTTGGAGGCAAATAGGCGCTGGGAACAGCAACTGCTCCATCAAACAACAGTCTGGGCTTTCTCCTGTGACAAAACTTCACTGCCAACATCAGTATGATGAACGTCAGGAAGAAAGTGCAGACGGAAACTAATGCAATGATCAAGTATGAGGTTAATTTAGAGTTGTTGTCCTCATAGCTCATATCTTTAAGTTCAGGAACTTCAGAAAGATTATCAGAAATCAGTAAATTCACAACACATGTTGTAGACAAAGATGGCTGGCCATTATCCTTTACTGAAATAACAAGATTCTGCTTCATATTGTCAGATTCAGAAATGTCTCGTTGAGTTTTGATCTCTCCACTATGGAGACCAATAGTGAAAAGTCCCGGATCAGTAGATTTCAAGATTTGATAGGACAGCCATGCATTCTGTCCAGAGTCAGCATCTACAGCAATCACATTTGACACCAGAGAGCCTGAGAGAGTCGCTTTAGGGACCATTTCAGTCATTAAAGTCTTTCCGTCAGGAACAGGGTATAATATCTGTGGAGAGTTATCATTCTCATCCGTTATGAAGACTTTGACAGTCACGTTACTGCTGAGTGGAGGTGAACCATTGTCTCTGGCAACAACTTTGACACTGAAGTTTCTGAACTGCTCATAGTCAAATGATCTCACAGTATGAATCACTCCTGTATCTCCATTAATAGAGAGAAATGAGGACATTGGGACCCCGTTGACTTCACTGGGTACCAGAGAGTACAGTACAGTCCCATTCTGTCTCCAGTCTGGGTCATTTGCACTGACAGAACAAACAGAGGTGCCTGCTTGCTTATTTTCACTTATATAAATGAAGTAACTCTGCAGTTCAAATCTAGGGGAGTTGTCGTTGACGTCAGAAACTTGTATGTTCAGAGAAATGTTGGAAAATAAGGGTGGTATACCTCCATCGGTTGCGATTATTGTCACATTGTAATTATCGATTTGTTCCCGATCAAGCGAACTACTTGTAGTGAGAATGAAATAAGACTTAATGTATGGCTGTAGCTGAAATGGCAGATTCGGCGAAATGGAACAACTAATCCGGCTGTTTTCTCCTGAGTCTTGGTCTTTTACGTTTATTACGGCTATCTCTGTGCCTGGTGTTGTGTTTTCTGGGATTTTATTTTTTAGAGATTTCACAGATATAACAGGCGCGTTGTCGTTGACATCATCTATTTCAATAACAACTTTACAGTGGCCTGTCTGACCTCCGCCATCCTCTGCTTGCACTTCCACCTCATATGAGGAGGCTTTCTCGTGGTCCAGCTGTCCAATAACTGATATTTCCCCGTAGTTTTCATCAATTTTAAACAACTGTTTTGTGTTGTCAGACAGGTGATTGATATAATATTTTATTTCTCCATTTGCGCCCTCATCCTCATCGGTAGCCGTGATTTTGATGACAGACGTTCCCAGTGCTGAATTTTCAGATAACCGAGCGTTATACAAAGGCTGCAAAAATAATGGTGCATTGTCATTCATGTCAATTACAACCACTTCAATAACAACAGTTCCAGAATTGGGAGGGTTTCCGCCATCTACCGCAGACAATATCAAAGAATGCTCTCCCCTTGTCTCTCGGTCCAGGCTGTTTTTTAAAACAATATCCACATAACGGTCTTTGCTTGACTTTGTATCAAGAACAAAATGTTTGTTTTGACTGAGAATATATGTCTGAACTGAATTAATTCCCACATCCAAATCCCGTGCTCGAGTTAATTGTAATTTGCTTCCTGTCGGAGCTCCTTCGCTTATCTCGAGCTTTATCGAACCTTTTGGGAAAACAGGAGGGTTGTCATTGACGTCCTGGACCTCTAAAGCGATGTTATGAAGTTCTAAAGGGTTTTCAAGAATAAATTCAAAGTGCATGATGCAGGGGGAGGCAGTTCCGCATAGCATTTCTCGGTCGATCCTTTCCGAAACAAAAAGATTCCCTGAATCTAGGTCTATTTCACAGTACCTTCTGTCCCCTTGGTAATCCAAACGGGCCTTGCGAAATCTCAAGCGATTATAATCCAAATTAACATCCTTACTTAGATTTCCAATAACAAATTTTGTCTTGGTTTCCTCCGGCACAGAATAACGAACATCAGCAGCGGTAACGCAGAAAAGAAGCGATGTTATCCATAATCGCCATTTTCCCAAGCACAATTTAGACGTTTTTGCCATGTCTTCTTTGTATAATAATACTCACACAATCGATTTGTATCATGGACAGTCAAAGCACTGCGATTTTGACAAATGTTATCAACAGAACAGAAAAAAGAAGAAAAAAATCGCACCAAATGGGTGGGTTCTTATGTTCAAAACTAGCTAGTCAACAGCGACGCTGTGTGGTTAAAGTAAGTATAAAGAAACGAACCACAAGTGCGGTGTGTAATGTTTCAGAAATTGTTAATTAAATAGTCTCTAATATAACCAGTGCACTATGTCCCTTTATAAGATAAAGATTTCTTTACACAAACTTGGAGTGGACTTTTACTGCAGACAAGCCACATAAATACTAGCCAATAAATTGTTTGTGTTTCTTTTAAAAAGTTTATATTGCTTATTTCTTTTATAATAAAAACATCGTTTTATATGGTTTATTTTATTGAAGGGATAGTTCACACTAAAATGTAAACGTACTTACTATTTTTCTCACCCTAATGATTTAAACTTTTTTTTTCTTTTCCAGTTGAACACAAAAGAAAATATTTTGAACAAAGCTGCAAATCTTTACCCACTGACTTCCATAGTAGAAACAATAAATAGTATGGAAGACAATAGTTATAGGTTTCCAGCTTTTTTATAATATTTTCTTTTGTGTTCGTCAAAGGAAAAAAGTTGAACAGGCTTGAAGCAAGTAAATGGTGAGTAATGATAATGATTTTCATTTTGGGTTAACTATCTCTTTAATATCCCTTTAATATAATTTCAGTGTAATAGAATTTGTATTGAAAATGTATTTTATTCATATAATCCAAAGCTCAGTTTTCATCAGTTTACATCAATCTCAAATGACCCTTCTAAAATCATTCTAACGTGCTGATTTATTAAAATGTATTACATTGAAAACAGTTAATAAAAAAAAATCATAGTAATGTTTTTACTGTATTGTTTAATGTAGAGTTATTTCAAAAACTGGTTCCAAACTTTATACCGGTACTGTTATCTGCCACGAGATTACTTTCTTAAAATGGTTTACATTTCAATGAATTTGTTTCTTGTAATTGTTTATATAATTAAAGAGAAATTTCAGTTCCAGTATAATTACAGTATAATTCTCAGCTTTACAGCATGTATTGATGTACACACAAACGTTACGTTTCACAAACGCATTTGTTTTCAGCACCATGGACAGCGCGATCTATTGCCGCTGTACAAAGCGCCTGGAATGGAAAGTGCAAGAGCAGACAAAGGTGAAACTATGCATTAAATTTAAAAAGAGGGTATCCTAGAATATATATATATATATATATATATATATATATATATATATATATATATATATATATATATATATATATATATATATATATATATATATATCTACAGAGAGAGAGAGAGAGAGAGAGAGAGAGAGAGAGAGAGAGAGAGAGAGATACAATTGTCTTAAATTGAAAAGTATGAAATTCAATTATATTTTCCAACAGGCAAAATTTAAACTAAACAATAATTTGTTTTGTTGAATTGTACACATCCGACATTCAAATCCAGAGCCTCACCTTTGTGTTTAATGTGCACACTGAACAGGAAGAAATAATTTGTCAAAAATGCATCAGATGATCTGACAGATGACAGTTTTAAAGCACAAACTATTATATATATATATATATATATATATATATATATTATTTTTTTTTTTTCAAATGCTATATAATCTGAATAATTATTGATTTTAAATGTCCACTGAAAATTTTGAAATACGCTTCTTTAGACATTGATAGTTTCACAATAAATCTTTGTCCTTCATGGAAACTTTATCATTTTAAAATGGTTCTTGAGCTTTTAACACGTTCTTAAATCTTTGAAAAATGTGCTGTTAAAGCTGGCTTAAGCAATGTAGGTGTTTAAATAATAAAATTTTAAATTTAATGTAATTTTTTAAAAATGGGTTATTTTGTGGAACCCAGTGTAAGGGTCACATTTACATATGACCTGTCATTCTAACATTAGCTTTACTTTGGCAACAGTTTTATGATAAAACATTTTGGTAAAATGCATTCAGGGTATTGTTAAATCAGAAAAGCAATTCTGGTTTACTAACCACGTAGACGGGCAAAAACAAAACCACACAAAACTCTTAAATACTTATGAAAGAAAACTTTATTTGTGATTTATAAACAAAACACATTACCAGATTTCTTAAAGTAATATAAAATAATAAACACCATTACACTGATGAGCAGGTGTACAAAAAAGTCCAACAGATTTGCACTGTCAAAGTCAAAAGCTTAGTGCCACCTAGGCACTGCATGAGCTGATATATAATTACCACACACAAGCAGAATACATAGACCTTTTTATTTTCTCTTTTATCGTTTTTGAAATTTTTGTAATTTTTTTTTTATCATTTTGTTGTTGAAGGGAGAGGTTTATATCATAGGGACGTATGAACTGTTTCACATTACAGTGTTATTGATTTCAAAGCCTAGCACAAAACAAAGGATTGATCCTTTCAAGTTGCAAAAAATCATAAGATCTTAAAGAAAAGCAATTTAGACCATAACACTACAGCATTACATATACCTAGAATGTAAATGTCAATGTTGACCGCCACAGAGCCGACATCGTTTCTGTGTCTTCTTTTTACGCTCACTTCATGTATGCAATCAGTGTATGTCTGCGTGAATAATCTGATTTATATTTCCATACTTAAGCAGAGATGATGCACATCTCCGGTTCTGTTATACACGAGAAAAAAAATAATTATGAAAAAACATATCTGTTCATTAATATCTATATATAATTTCTGTTTTTAATTGCGTTTAACATGCAAAACAGTCACTTGGTGATCTGACAGCACTGAACCACACCTGAAAGAGACTGGAGTGTGTGTCTGTGTGCGTGTGTGTGTGTATGTGTGATGAAACGGCCTCATAGCAGCACAAACATCTCTCCTTTACTTAACAGTATATTTAAAGAAAAGAAGAGATGTGCTCCCTCTAAAAAAAGAACGAAAACAAACTGAAACCTTAATCATGATGTCAGAATGTTAAGAAAATGTTCCCATTATTTACAAAAATGTCATGAAGCTATGTTTCGACAATAATTATATACAGTAGAAAAACTCTATACTGCCCTCTGCTATAGTTCCTCAGTCTAATCTCCGCTAACCCTCTATCATCGTTCTAGAAAGCACCATACGCCATGGCTAAACTTCTCCATAAGCATAGCTGCATAGTCCACGGTTAGCTCCACTGCTGTCAAAGCATAAACACGGGTGTATATTGAATTTATACTTGAATGTAGGGGCCAGTACATGTGCTTATGTGTCCTGCAGAAGGAGTGGCTTTTTTTCTGCTCTTTCCTGTTACATTATACTACACGCACCACCAGGGGGCAGTACTGACATGAGGCCAGCACAGCACATCTGATAAAGGGAGGATGGCAATGTTAGTTACAAGCTGTAGGAAAAAAAGTAGCTGGACTATGATTATACAGATGGGACGAAATAAGATGACGCCTATCAAACATTCAAAACGGCAGCAAATCAATTTAGTGAGTTTTGAAATGAAGCAACAAGCACCTTTTGTACAGTGTCTACAGACTTAGGGAACAAACTCGGATATCATCAGAGATGCAAAGGGTGTAAGCTGTTGGAAAGTAGCTGGAATAAGACTTAAAGCTGGCGGAAAGTGGGATGACGGCTATCAGACATTCAAAACTGCAGCAAAGGAAGTTGACTTTTTTTTAAATGAAGCGATGAGCACTATTTTACAGACTTTTGAGAGGCTGTTGTGCTTCAGTCCTTTAGCTGTCCAGTGTGCGGACAGCCTGTAATGCTTTAGAGAGCAACAATCTCTAGGTTTATGCATCATATTTTTCGATTTGTATTTCTACATATCTTGGATGTGCATAATTTTGGATTGTATTAGAGTATTGGATTGCTCTTACAAAAAATGCTGAGTAAAGTGTCGTTCTGAGATTTGTTCGGGAGCAGAATCAGTAGCGATCTCTTTGTTCTTTTCTAGAATATTTCAGGAGTTGATTTGACTGCTACATTCCTATCTCTTACTTTTAGATCTGCTATAGAAATCAGACACCGGTCTTTTTGGTGAAGGTGCAGTCAAATTTGTGTCTGGAAAGTTTTATTCCTTGCAGATCAAGACGTGAGATGGGGGCCCGGGGAGGTTGTTTCTTTCCCATATGAAGATGAGGGACGAAGGCAGAGAAAACTCTTGGATGAGTTCATATCCAGTTTAACTGGAAATTAGTTTGATCCTTTTAAGAGAGAGGGACATCCTTTGCTGTGGATGAAAATATCATTTACAAGGCGTGAGTGGGCTGGGTTTTTTTATTTTGTAGACTGCAGAGTCTTTCTTAGATGGGTTAGAACTATAAAAATAGCCAATTATAGTCATGTAAATGTTCACTGGGATAATTTGTGTTATTTATATGTGTCTGCACATAGAGCAAACTCTTTTCAGCCTGGACTTTGTAGATATGGTATATTGAAGGAATTTTCTCCTCTCTTAATGTTTTCAGTATTTTTGGTTTTCTCTTTCTGTCATTATTTGCTACAAACGCAAGTTGATAGCTTTAATATTGTAGTGGGACGTTCTTCATTACTCCTCGCCATCATCTTTCCCTTTATCCTTCTTGTCCTTCTTTTCCTTCTTCTTCTTTTTCTTCTTCTTAGACTCCTCTTTCTTCCCGAAAGTGATGAACTCGCCCTTATCATCCACGGCACCTGGGTCCTGCCGGATGGAGATGATGGCCGGAGAGCCGGGAATGATGAAGGCTTCAGGGGGAATCTCTCCCGGCTTTAGGGCTTGTGGAGGGCCGTATCCGGGGCCCGCACCATAGCGGAAGCTCCAGCTGTTACTGTTGATTCCAGCTCCAACAGGAGGAGACAGCTGCCCCTCTCCTTCACCATCTGAGTTAGAAAAGAGACAGACGTTAGATTCTGTCTTCACTTTCACATTCATTTATCTTTATTCATAACAGAGCTACAAATTATTCAAAACAGCTTTACAGTATTAAACAAGACAGTAATAGAATTGATGGTGCAAACTTTAAAATTGAGTTAATTCCTCCTATTCCAGAACATCTGTCATTATTGTTAATTAATTTTTGTTCAATAAATAACATTCATTCATTATACAGCTCAGCCTCTTCAGTGCTGTCAAATCAATGTTGTTACAGAATATTACATTTCTTTCAAGCACCAAGTGACAAAGCCTGGAAAGATATGTAATTTCTTGCACAAAGTCAAATATTGGGTTGCCTAATGCAAAACCACAGAAATAAGACAACCCATTTACTAATTACTGTAGTCTATATACAGTCACCTAAACATTTTATTTCACAGGGGAACAAAGCGTGCAATTTAAATGATATTATTAAGCTTTAAATGTAATTTTTTTATTAACGGTTTAATGTTTAATTGTTTTTTATGAGCCAGAAATATTGCTGACAAATAATCAAGTAAATAAATACATAATCAATCATGAAATTAAGCTTGGCAAAAAAAATAAAATAAATAAATAAATAAATAAATAAATAAATAAATAAATAAATAAATAAATAAATAAATAAATGAATAAATAAATAAATAAATAAATAAATAAAATTATTTATATATATATATATATTTTTTCCCCCAGAAAGTATTTTTGTATTAATATTTATTTATGTAATTAAAATTTAAAGTATAACAAGTGATTGTAATTTTTATTCATAGTTTTCATGACATTTTCATTTTATTTTGTTTATTTAACTGTAATAAGAATAATACATGTATTTTTAACTGTTCATACTGTTTATCGCAAAAGTGATGATAAAAACAATTATAATGCCACAAAGGATTTTTATTTCAGATCAATGCTGTTCATTTAAACTTGATAAAAAGGAGCTAAAAAGTCTACTTTTTTTAAAGCATAATGAAATGTATGTATATACAGTTGAAGTAAGAATTATTAGCCTCCTTTGATTTTCTTTTTATTTCTTTTTAAAAAATTTCCCAAATGATGTTTAAACAGGGCAAAGACATTTTCACAGTATGTCTGATAGTATTCTTTTCTTCTGGAGAAAGTCTTATTTGTTTTATTTTAGCTAGAGTAAAAGCAGTTTTAAATAAAAAAAAAAAAAAACATTTTAATGTCAAAATTATTAGCTCCTTTAAGCTAACTTTTTTCTTGATAGTCTACAAAACAAACCATCATTATACAATAACTTGCCTAATTACCCTAACCTGCCTAATCAACCTATTTAACCTAGTTAAGCCTTTTAATGTCACTTTAAGCTGTATAGAAGTGACTTGAAAAATATCTAGTAAACTATTATTTATTCTCATTATGGCAAAGATAAAATAAATCAGTTTTTAGAAATGAGTTATTAAAACTATTATGCTTAGACATGTTTTGAAAAAAAAAAAAAACTTCTCTATCCGTTAAACATTATTATTAAACCTCCCTGTGTATTTTTTTTTTACCCATTTCCTGTTTAACAAAGAAAAGATTTTTTTCAGCACATTTTTTAACATAATAGTTTTACTAACTCATTTCTAATAATATATTTTATATTAGCCATGACTTGCCATAAATAATATTTGACTGGATATTTTTAAAGACACTTCTCTACAGCTTAAAGTTACATTTAAAGGATTAACTACAGTAGGTTGATTAGTTTAACTAGGCAGGTTAGGGTAATTAGGCAAGTTATTGTATAACGATTGTTTGTTCTGTAGACTATCGAAAATTATATAGCCTGAAGGGGCTAATAATTTTGACATTAAAATGGTTTTAAAAAATTTAAAACATCTTTTATTCTAGCCAAAACAAAACAAATAAGACTTTCTCCAGAATGAAAAAAATATTATCAGACATACTGTAAAAATGGGGGGGGGGGGGGGGGGGGCTAATTATTCTAACTTCAATTGTATATATATGGACAGCTGAATTATTAGCCCTCCTGAATTATTATCCCCCCTGTATTTTTCCCCTAGTTTCTGTTTAACAGAGAGAAGACTTTTTTTCAACACATTTCTAAACATATTAGTTTTAATAACTCATTTCTAATAACTGATTTATTTTATCTTTGCCATGATGACAGTACATAATACTTTACTCAATATTTTTTGAGATACTAGTATTCAGCTCAAAGTGCATTTCTGTAATTTGGTTAACTAGGCAAGTCATTGTATAACGATCAAAAAAAAAATGCTTAAGGGGGCAAATAATATTGACCTTAACATGTTTTTTTTTTTTTTATTCTAGACTTTTTACAGAAAAAAATGATTGGAAATACTGCGGAAAAACTCCTTGCTCTGTAAAACATAATTTGGGAAATATTGAAAAAGAAAAAAAAAATCACTGGAAAGCTATTTTTCTGAAGGTGTATGGCAAAACATATCAACATCAAAAGAATAACAATTGCCTTTCCTTATTTAACATTGATCTAAACCCATAAGTAAGCCACACAAGCACAGCATTACTCTAGAGTGCTCTTTCATACAATGTTGATGTTTAAAAAGTGTACTACCCCAACAGGGACAGAGAGCTGAGTACAGACTGAGAGACTTATGTACTACTTTCCCTACAGAAGCAAGGCTCTTTGCCACACCAGTTACTCCATGACCTACTTTCATTCCTCTGTTTTATTTAGATCTCACCGTGGCCCTGAAATGCAATTCTGTTTGTTTTAGATCTGCATGCTTATTATGACAGCTTATTTTATTAAATGAAAAAAAAAAAAAACTACCAGGGATTATTTATTTTGATATTCTTACCTCGGCTTAAATCAATCTGGATTGTGTCTGTGTGTGCGTGCTACAACTAGACTAAATTAAGATCCTTCTAGCGCTCAGTTTCAGGCAAATGTCTAAATTTAGACACATCAAATCCTGCCATTAATATGCAAACTGCTCTTTTTTTGTCCCAGTGGCTACTGATGCATTGTGTATAACTGTTGAAAGTCTTGACCGTATACCAGCAGCATCATCATTATTAATCGTCTTAATTTTTAAATATTTTTTTACTAATAAATAACAATAAATTATTATGATTATTAATGATTAAAAGTTAAAGTTATTAAAGTTCATAAATGCTATTGTTATTAAGGCTTATTAGAAAATAAATGTAATGATACAAATGTTTCTGCTTCTGGTTGTACCACAACTTTTGATCAAAACGTTTTAAAGTTTTAGTAGGCATTTCTCTCCAGAAGAAATTATGAAATAGAATTATTAACTACAAAAGTTAAGTTTTTAGACAAAATGTTATGGTGGCTTGAGAAAGCCTCGTCTGAAAGTTTGAAGTAGTTTAATAATTTAAATAATTGAAATAGTTTAAGATGTTTGAAACAGTCGACATAGACCGATACCTACATATAGACTATTTTAAGGGATGTAAACAAAAACAATGGTGCCAGCAAAGTTCCTGATTTACATTTTTAATCTCTATACCTTCCGAGAATCCAAAAAGAGACACATTTTGATAAATAATGTTTAGATAGCGGTTTTAACAGTAAGATATGATTGAATTGTCTCTTGGTACGATTATAAAATAGTTTGACAACAAGAAATGTTCAGGGACCAATGACATCACCACATTGAAATGGTCTATATGTTAGATCAGTGTTAGAAATATGTTTCTAGTGTGGATTGGCATGTTTCTTGCTAAGGCATTGCTAGGGTGTTCTGAGTGGTTACTAAGGCGCTGCTAGGCAGTTGCTAGGGTGTTCTAGATGGTTACTAAGGTGTTGCGAGGTTGTTGCTAAGGTGTTCTGAATGGTTGCTAAGGTGCTGCTAGGTGGTTGCCTAGGTGTTCTAGGTGGTTGCTAAGGTGATGCTAGGCAGTTGCTAGGGAGTTCTGAGTGGTTGCTAAGGTGTTTGCTAGGGTGTTGCTAGGTTGTTGTTAAGGCGTTGCTAGGATGTTCTGAGTGGTTGCTAAGGCATTGCTAGATGGTTGGTAAGATGTTGTTAGGGTGTTCTGAGTGGTTGCTAAGGTGTTGCTAGACAGTTGCTAAGATGTTGTTAGGTAATTGCTAAAGCGTTGCTAGGTTGTTGATTAGGTGTTGCTAGGTGGTTGCTAGGGTGTTCTGAGTGATTTCTAGGCAGTTGCTAAGGCATTGCTATGTGGTTGCTAAGGTGTTGCTAGGTGGTTGCTAACATAAATTAGCATATTTCAAGTATAAATTAGCATTATTTTAGCATGTTATTAGCATAAATTAGCATGTTGCTAGCATGTTTCTAGTCTAAACTGTCATGTTGTTAGCATGAATTTATTATGAATTAGCATGTTGCTAGTATCATGAGTATGTTATTATAATTTTATTATTCTTATTATTGTTGCTGTTAATGTTAGTCATTATTCAAAATCCAAGAAAAATTTATATGATTAATAACAAGTGACAGTGATAATTCAAAGTGTTGCTGAATTATAATTAGTCATAAAAAGGTTAACAATGGTTACACTTTTAATAATCTACTTATTTCTGAACATTTCTGCCATGACTTTGCAATAATTACAACAACAACAATACGGTATTTTCTTTATAAGAAATAGTAAGAAATTATCATATAGAATTAGTTCTTTATTTCTCCCCAAAAAGTGTTGTGATTGTCAGACATGCATCTAAATTTACACACATTAAACCCTGCCGTTAATATGCAGACTGCTTCTTTTTCCCCTCTGGCAATTTCTGCATTATGTATAACTGTTGAAAATCTTGACTGTCTTGAAAATACACCGTCTTTGCATCCATTCAAAAGACTCTTGGTGTGCAGATGGTAGAGTAAAGAGTCAATGAGAGAGTGCTGTGCGTCGCCTCCTGGGCTTGACAGATCACATTTGGCTGAGAAGGTCAGAAATTGTGGTTTATAGTGGTAGCGTTTACTCGCTGAGTGGTCAGATCTCTAGTGAGAGAGTAACTCAT